GTTTGTCTGTCCAGGCTAATAGCTGAAAATTGTACTGAAACTATATAACGTATAGAGAGGAATGCCTAGGTCACGGCTATATTTTAGCCGAAAAATTGATTTAAGCAATGGTCTTTGATAAGTCTTATTTAATCACTCTAGTCTAGTTAGGAATAAAAAAACATGTATGCTGTTCACACGCGGTAGAAGTGAAACCTTCAGAAAAGGAGACCGAGATAATAGGGAACACGGTATAGTATATTCTATCTCATTATCTCGCGAGCTAAATCCTTTATCCTCTTCAGACCCAGATAGAAAGGAAGTGGATTAAATTACTTTTAAACATTTTTCCAGGTTCATAGGGAAGCAAACAAAACATATATTACAAAATTTCTTTTTATTTGGTTTAAAAAAAAATGTCATGGGCGCGCATATGTGCACCTGAGGACTGTCTTAATAAAAATATCACTTATTTGTATGATATAACTGGAAACAGTTATTTTTTAAAATACATAAATTTACGTTACATTTTATACATACAGTGCGACAACGGGATGAGCATTGGCTATGGCGGCATTTTGATGCGAACTTGTCATCCAGGTATCGGGGCAAATGCCCTACCCCGTCCAACCTTACATCAGGAGGCGATGTGTCACAACCGCTATATGTTTTTTTGGCGGTTCATCTTCGACCCTTGATGTAGATGGACTGGCTTCCTTTTCATTTCCAACGCCACGGCTGCTGCTTCGCAAGTAAATTGGGTTTATCCAGCCACCATCGTATCTTGCTAATGCTAGATACAGCCTGTACTGAAGCAGGCCCAGCTTGTCTTTTGCTGCAATTCCCTCCTGCTGGCAGCATCTCGTGTACATGATCCAGCAGTTGACAATGGCCAGATCTACGAAATGGCTAAATGCACGCACTGGCCACTTTTTGGTTCGCATGGCGCTGCGATAATATGCTATCAACCGATCGCATAAATCGATGCCACCCATGCAGGTATTATAATTTTTTACTACAGCTCGTTGTGGCACGTCAATTTTCTTTTTCTGTATTTTGCACCATCTTTTGCAGCAGCCTACTGGAGTAGCACCTACGCACGTAGACAGCATGGTGACAGCTTTGGTATCCTTCCATTTCACTACAGTAACTTGCTCATCATTTCTCACCTTCTCGTCCCTTTCTCCTCACTTCAATTGTTTGTCAGTCTTTAATTTTTTAACAACTGGCCCAAATCGATTGTTCACCACCGTCCCAGTCAGATATACATTCTTTTTATTTTTATTTAGATAGTCCGCTAGTTTTATACAAAAAACGGTCGGTATATAAGACACAGTTTTCGGGAACAGTGCGACACAACAGCTTCACTATGCCTGCTCCAACTCCTAATTGTTCCATATCCTGGCGGGGTATTGTATTTGATCCCACATATATCTCAAAATCCTGAATGAGGCCATCTTTAGCCGCTAATACAAAGTTTTTCAAGCCAAGAGGAATTGGCTTTGAGGGTACGTACTTGCGGTATTCACACCTTCCAGAAAACGGAATCATTTGTTCATCTATTGAAATATGATTGGATCGAGGTAAGCTTTGACATTTTTCCTGAATTCTACTAATTATTGGCCGGATTTTCCAGAGTTTATCATCATTATCTCGTCTCTCAGAATTATCTACAAAATGTAGATGATTTCGCAATTCTAAAAAACCGATCTCTTGTCATAGTGTCTCGGATCAATGGTACGCACAGGTCTTTGCTTCAGTACAGTCTACCTTGTGGGTATTTTAAACTGCCCATGAGAATTTGCAACCCAGCAAAACGTATTATTTCAATATAATCAGTTGCCACTGATTTTAAATTTCTGTTTTGCGCAGAATATAAATTCGTCTGTTCAGCGACTAATTTCCAGAAATCTAGATCTAGGTACTCCAAAAATGAATATAAGCAGCTAGTAGATGAGGTACCTTGTGACAAGAGCACATCATCAGTAATGTCTGGTCCACGAAGATCCATTTGTTTAGTCCGCCAGAATTCACCAGGCACATTTTGCTGCATCTCAACTATGTTACCCTGTTCTGGTTCCGAGTCCCATTCCGACTCCGATACTTCAGGTGGTACAGCATCTGGCGGCAAGTACTCATCGTCGTCTTCATCTCCAGAGTAGTCCAAGTCGCTGTTGTTAAGTGCTTCTTCGATTGCTTTAGCATCTATGATCTATAGCTAATAAAAATATATCTCAATTTATTCATACTTACAATAAAATAATGGTCTAGACCTGAGGTGCACGTATATACTCAAAAATAATTGACTTAAATTAACTGCAAAATTTATTGATTTCGGAAATCCATTATTCGCTGTGTAAACTACTACTAATTGTGCACCAATAATCGTAAAAACAAATGATTTAAAACAACGATTTTGATTTAAGATAAAATGGAAGTTTTTTAGGAAGTAATTTTAAACGTGTCGGAATAAATTTTTGAACCTCAAGCGTGCATTATTATTAATAATGTGCTAATCGTAAATTAAATAAGACCCCGAAAAATTGAAGAGTAATATTTTGAATAATATGTTTGAATAGTTTTCTTTCTATTTTGCATTTTTTTTTTATAATTACACATCGACACGACAGTGGTGCATCACTATGTATGCCGTAAGGCTCGAAAGTGCGACAGAGAGCGCAACGGGCGGCGCCCTGTTTCCTCATTTTATTACGCGAGCAGCGGGTGTTTAACATTAGTATATGTGATAATTAAGCGCTAATCGAATGGCAAATTTATAGTGTAAGGTGAGTTGGGATAATACCGGACGGATTTTCGACAAGTTGAAACCAGTCACGATTTTATGTTTATTAATTTTTAACCATTTAATTTATTAAAAAATAATGATCATTTAGAAAAATAGGACAAAACATTCTTTAACTCTCACGTAGCTATGGCACAAAAGAGTTTACCAAAATAAAATTAACGGCAAAATGAAATGGTGATGCAAAATTTTGCATGCTGGGTTAAGACTGCAATAGGTTGGGTAAAGACCGGAATAACCTCCAAAATCGCCAATATTCACTTTAGACTTACAATTCATAAAAAAGATTATCCGGTATTACCCCTTACCGGACACAAAAAACTGGTATCTCACAATTCCTTAAGGAAACACCACAATATTTTTTTAATATTTTGTCTATACAGGTCTTACCCCATAAATCTTTTATGAGCACTATGGTTCTCAAACATTGTTAATTTTAGATAGAAATAAAATCAAGGTAGATAATAGGGTGCCACGCACCTAAATATTTATTTAAAGAAATAAAGTAGGCAACCAACATATTTATAAATGAAAAAATGTAATACAGGACAACAAAGACTAGTAATCAGATAGATTTTTTTAAATGTTTACCAATATTATCATTAATCAGCATTGGCGTCCATAATCATGTATCGGACAGGTTTGAAAAAAAAATTGAAATTAAATATTTGTTTTATTTTTAAGATAGACATTTAAGAAAATGAAGTCATTTCAGTATTGAAATAAAAGAGCAAAGCGAGCCTAATTACCTTCTCCTTTTTGTTAGGGTTATATAGGGCACTAATAAAAATTATGGAAAGGTGCGAGTAGGGCATTTTCTCAAAAACTGTTAAAGGTATTAAGTTGAAATTAACACATAGAGCAGTTAACTTATGCAAATTGAATTGTTAATTAAATTTTATAAAAAGATATTGACGTTTTTTGATAACATATTATAGAAAGTACATTATGACAACAAAAAATATTTCAATAAGTTATGGCATGGCAATGAATCTGTTGAGCGTAATGATAGTGAGTAATTAATTTTCAACTCAATAACTCTAACCATATATGAGAATTTTTAATTAGTTAGTTAGTTAGCTACTATTAAGAATGGTCTTGACAAACCTATAGGGGTACGGTACGGGGGTGCGAGTACTACTTGCATTTGTCTCAAATTTTCATCAGTGCCATATAAAACTTTTGGATAATATAAGAGTTAAATTTAATCCCAATACAAACTTCAGAAAGCAAACAATAGTTATTAGAAAAAAAACTACAGATAGCATAAACTATATAGCAAATATTTAACGTCTGAATACAAAATATAAAAAATACTAGCTTCACTTAGATTGTTAACTAACTCAGATGTTACCCAAATTACGAAATAATTAGTTCTCACTTCCAATATACTTATTAATCAGCATTACCAGAAGGTATATGTTTGAATTAATTAAAACCACTTTTACGGATTTTATCGCGTTTTATTTATATTAATTTTAATAGCCGACCTTTCGGGTGCTTTCCAGCACCCATGGTCACGGGGGACTGGACCATGGACATGGGTGCTGGAAAGCACCCGAAACGTCGGGTATTTTAAGTAAAATCCGTAAAAGTAGTTTTAATCAATGTATAGTGTTCGCGTAAATATAAGAAATCATTATTGTATATGTTTGAACATAAAAATTTAATCTAAGCTTAACTTACGTACCTATTTGATAACAAAATAAGTATTCTACAATACGTTTGATGTGGTCTCAAAAACAAACTGTATCATCTTCGTTATAAGTAGATATGTTTTAATATGCAAATCGAATCCAACCTTACATATTTGATTAACAGATATGGCAAAGTATAAATTAAAAATATCTCAATTAAAATATGTAAAAAATGTAATATCAATACAAACATTATTAAAAAAGCTACAAGTGCGTAAAATGTGTAGCAAATAACAAAAATATCAGAATACAAAATACAAAAAATAACTAAGCACTTAGATTGGGAACTAACTGAAATCTTAACCAAATTACAAAGTCTTTTGTTCTCACTCCTAATATAACCATTAATCAAAAGTAAAACTAGATATATCTTTTACATAAAATCGAATCTAAGCTTAACTTACATATTTAGCTTGGCAACATTATGGCAGAGTATAAAATAAAAAATTCTTGCAAAGATCATAATCTTATTCTTACATATAAAAATTACCTAATGAAAAATAAGTCTTTAAGATGTAGCCTCAAAAATAAACCTTATCATCTTCGTCAGATAACAGATATTCGTTTGATTTTAAAGGGTTTTGTGTTAAATGAACCTTTTTCACTATTGAGATTTCAGTTATCTCATCTCGATCTCTTTTTTTTGTCATTTTAAAAACAAGCTTTGGTTTTTTAATTGTTTTGAAAAACCTAACCATGAAATAGGACTCATAATTCTTTGTTGTTATGGTTTCTATGTACCCTATGTAGTACGTCCACTTATTCCTGTTATAATAACTGCCCAATACGTAATCATTAAGGAAATACTCTGTAGTATTTTCGTTATTTTCAGTTTCATGATTTATTAAGTCATTTTCAAAATCTTTTTCAGTCTCTTTATTCTTTGCATTTTCAGTACTTTCCAAATGATCATTAGAATCCTCTGTAGTCTTATCTAATCTCAAATCATTATGAGGATATTCTTCAGTACTTTTAAGTCGTTTTAATTTCTCAGTTAAATCACAAGTGTCTTCCATAGTATTAGTATCCATACCTATTTCGTAATCAAATTCATCACCAGTTCCTAAAGCTTTCATGAAAGTAAATAAATCGAAATCATTATCACTATGGATGCTGATTGTACCTGACACACTAGTTGTGGAACTAGTTGATGATAACAGACACTGCTTCTTTTTTTTTTATTCAGGAAAATATTCTAAAGTCTCTTCGTTTGGAGAAGTTAGTTTTGGATTTTCTTGACAAGTATTTCTATCCTTATTTTCTTTACCTTGAAAAATTCTCCATTTTGATTCTTTTTGTTAGTAAAAATATCATTGAAAGGCATCTTACTTAAGTTTGTAGTACTATTAAATATTCCACTTAACCTCTTTTTGCTTATTCTCGAGGGACCCGGTTCAATTGACACCGAATCGTAACAAATCATTTCCGTATCGTTAGAATCTTTAAGATCAGATATACTTGTATTTAAGTCTTTCGTAGCTTGCACTGTATTTTTGTTAGTCCCTACACTTATTTTACGTTTTATAGTCGAATGTTTATTTTGTGTTTCTATTTTTAAACTATTTTCGTTCTTCTCTTTAATATTTTCTTTGTCTTGCTTCTCCAATTTTTTAGATCTTGACGTATTTTTTTACATGTCTGTTTTTGAACCTTTTGTTTACTGTACGAAGCAGTGATGACTTCTGCGCCTTAACCGATCCATCTTTTTGTAATTTCAGTGATGTCACGTTTATTTTGTACTTTTTGAAGTAAAAGTTCTTCAAAACCGCATGACACAGTTGGAAGTATTTGATTGTAGTTTTTTGTTGGCCTTTGAATTACGATGTCAGAGATAATTTTAATTTTAGGGGAATCTGTATGATTTTTTATGCAACTGGGTATGTCGTTAGCATGTCTAGCCACAAATGGTAGCAATTGTCACATTTAATATCACATTTCGAAATATCGCTTAAGTAACGAACATCGTGTACAGCTGTTGATGAAGAAGCACAATACTCTCTTTGTTCTTTTCCAGTTTGTTTGGATACAACTGGGTTTAAACGTTTTAGAACTAACGTTTCACTAAGAAGTAATTGCCTGTTAAGTGCCGCAATACAATACGTTTTTAATAGATCTGGGTTTTTCGATGTTAGTGTCCTGTTCGCATTTTGGGTTTCATTCTCATTATGAACTTGAATTTTTTGCTGTAATCTATTGTAGGCTAAAGGACCAAACATTTCTTTGGGAATTACTGTTGAGTTAAAAGGATAAAATGCCAAAATTTTCTGAACTCACTTTTTATAGTTTCCGGCTTTACTTTGCTCCAGATTTCGGCAAACAATTCAGAGAAGGCGTTTTTTTGCAATTTTGACCCAACATTTTCACTCTGCCATTCAACTAAGTTTGCATCCCACTGGCTCTTAAATCCTTTGAACACAGCCAAGTCAAGGGGTTGTAAAAGATGAGATGTGTGTGGTGGTAACTTTAATATTGTTATATTGTTCTTGATGGCCAATTCCACAACTTTTACATCTACATGAGTACTATGCCCGTCGTATATTATCAATACTGGCCTCTCTTCACCTACGCCCGGAATCACAACTTTTTCCATGTATTTAAAAAAAATGTCGGTCTCCATCCACCCTTTTTTACTTACAGCATATGTTAACTCAAAATCGTAACTTGTTGTGTTTTCAGCCATCCAAGTATACAAATACTTTCCCTTAAAAACTATCAAAGGAGAAAGTTTAGTTGCATTTGCAGTGACGGTAGTTAAATCAGTAATATTTTCCTTCCCGGGTCCAGAGGTTGTTCTCGAACACGGTTTACCTATTCCTCTAACCACTTTGGTTTTTGATGGGTCCAATGAAACCGATGTTTCATCTAAATTACATATATTTTGTGGTTTATGAAACAGACATAACTCTGTTAAAGTTTTTTCTAATAATTTAAAGTAATCGTCGATAACAAAAGGATCTATTATCTTTTTTCGGATGTACTCAATTGATTGTGGTTTTTTTATTGAGAGGCGGTGTCGTTTTTTAAAGTTAATAAAACCAGTCTGGGCCTGGAACACCATTTTTAAAAGGCGTTTTGATTTTATTGTGACGTACATATTCTGCCATTACATTCAACACTTCTTGTCTGGATAGACCAAATCCCCACTTTTCTAGTATTTTAATGAGTTAGACAATATTGTTTCGTCCTCTACAGAAATAGCGGGTGCTCTTCCTAAGCTTTTACTGGTCTTTCCAGTTTTTTCTGTGATACGATCGTGAAGAGTAGAGGTCGGTATATTATACAATTGCGATGCACGATAAAGGGTAAGCTCGCCACCGTTTACCATTTTTATTGCATTCAATAAGTCATTTTGTGTGTATGAAATTGCTCGCATAGATTTTCTTATATATTTGCGAGGCATCATCTAGCTTTATTATCAAACTAGGCACAGTGCCAGGCTCACACGGTAGCAAACTGAAACAGAAACTGGTAATGATATTGCATTTGTATATAAAATTATTAATCCGCTATGACGCATGTAGTAAACAACTTGAGAACCACTGGCATTTAGTAAGAAAATTAAAACCGGGAAAGTCCGAAAGGTTTGTATTCCGAACATACCCCATAGGTTTATACTATGGGAATGACTGGAAAAAAAATATTATAGCCGTACAAAACTACTTTTAATCAAATATCAGAGAAATAGCTAATAAAACTTTCAGAGACATTAAAACATACCTGGGTTCCAGAATACAGCTGTCGGGGGTAAGATCGGATTTTTAAAATCGGGACGAAAAACATACTTGCTCATTAATCGCGTCAATACACTCGTCTAGTCGCTCGAAGCGTCAGACGCAGACTGAAGTGGGGAACGCAACAGTATGGCGTCCTGATCTATGATACCAGAAATAAAAAATATCAAGCGGGTGACGGGTAAATTAAGTTTTTCGTTCTTTACCCGCATTCGGTGTTGCCCCAACTCACCTTATATATGAGAATAGGTAAATATAAATTTAATAATATAGGTAAATATAAATATAATAGGTAAAAATAAAATTTACAACGGTATTGGGTCTTGAATATTTTATTGTAAGTTATACACTAAAATAAGGCTGAATTTATAATCATAATAATTATGTGATAAAGAGATGAATAGCCGGGTCAATTAAATGTTATGAGGTAAAATTTCATAATATTACTTCTTACTATTAAAATTCGTAATATTTATTATTAGTAAAGAAGGATCAAGAGGTACTGATATTCTTAAAAATCCCACTGTATTAGTAGAATTAATATATATTTTTGTTTTTTGTCCAAATCAAATTTAATTAGGGTTGATATGTTTTTCATAATAATACACTAGTAAAGAAGAATTAAGAGGTAGGCTGATATTTTTAAAAATCTCACTGTAGGAGTAGAATTAATCCATTTTTTTGTTTTGTGATTGATATGTTTTGGATTTTTGTTATTACTAAATAATTTATTAAATTGTTGCCATTGATAAAAATATTTTTTGTTTATACTTATTTTCTATTTTCAATACTATTTACATTCATATTATATTATATTTACCCATCTTAAGTGTTTAAAGCTAATTATTTTGGTTTTAGAATATATAGAATAATTCGAAATGTTTCGAAAATATTTTAATTTACTTATTTGTAGTATAATCAGTAAATTAAAATATTTTCTTGAATCAGCAACTGTTGAAACTACATATAGACTGTCAACCCTTGTTGAAGTTATTATTACTTTATAGTAATAATACAAATTGTTGAAAATATTTCCTACTACTAACTACTGTGATACGAAATATCTTTCTGTGTAATAAAATGTGTATCATTCATTTGTCAATTGGACTAGAAGCAATATTAAATTTACGAGTATAACAATATAACCTAAGAATGTTAATGTAATGTTAAGATTTTATTAAATAAAGTTTATTAGTTTATTAATAAAGTGTTTTATTATATGACGAGGCACATAGCAGCACATTTTGCAGGTCAAAAATAGCTTCCTTCAAGAAACTCGACGCACTTGTAATTCCCCTGATTTTGCAGTTGTTCACGGGCATCGCTCGACACTTTCCATCAGGTGAGCCGTATGCTCGTATGCCTTAAAAATAGATTATTTTTTCTCAGTATGCCTCCGACGTATACTCGATGAGGCTAGGATCCATCACACTAAGAGTGAAAATCATTTATTTTAAAGAATATGGGTGACAAACGAGCACACAGTCAAGTCAAGTCAAGCACAATTTTAGTTTGAAATATGAGAAAGAAATCGAACGTTTGGTCAGCCGGCCAAGCGCTGTCAAATCACTGTTTCAAACGTGAAGTTTTTGGTTTATTGATATTGTGTGCATTTTAAGTTTTTTTTTTTAAATATTTTAAAAGCAAGAAGCATTTAAAATATTTTTTAATTTAATTTTTTTACGACTGGCCTTGTAACGAGGACTCCCGATCCTACCTATAAAACTAGAAGCCGGCCTAAAACTACCTATTTATTATTATTAATAATTAGAGTAACACAAAAATAACAATTCAAAACGAATACGGTGAGTTTTTCGTAAGTCGTCAATTTCGTTGACTTAGGCTTTGCAAAGTGCACGCTTTACGCTCAGCACAACTTAGAAGCTAGCTCTATAAATAGCGACATTGTCTTAGCTCGAAAGCAAAGTCTGAGCAAAATCAAAGTAAGGTCTATGGATCTTAGGCTAAGTAAGAAGTTATCAGTAAAAAGTGTCTTCGGTTCTTCACACTCAGTAGTGAGTAATTTTCGATTCCCTAAATATTAACAAGCATGATGTTATTTGCATTCCTGTTGCGTAATATTTTATCTTAACTATTAGTCAAAAAATTTCACACAACTTTCTGACATTACTTGGCGTGGTTTTACTTTTTACGCGGTAAACCAAAGCTGCAGCTATACTATCGGTGTAGCACGAATGGGTCGGCTTGATCGGGGTAGGACTACGCTCTCACAAAATAGCAGCTTACTGCTGCTGTGTTTCGTATGGTGGTGAGTGAAGAGAAGCGGAGACCTTTTATTCCATCCTAGTCCATCTTGGTCCTCAAGGGTGACAACGTATCTGCATTTTGATTCTTAATCGAGGATAAATGTGAATGTCTAGCAGTGGCGAAGCTAGGGCTTCAAACTAGGGCAACCCCAAGATATAGTTTTGTTGTTTTCAGCAGTTTTATAAAAATAGACCAATCTTGAGTTTTTTCCACTCTAGTTTCATATTCAGTGCTGTCAAGGACGTGTTTTAACAAAGCACACAGAAGGCATAGTTACTACCGCTAGATAGATTGTATGACATATGTAATTGCATACCTTCGGTGGCTTTGAAAAGATCCGTTTGGGTTTGCTTGAGCGAAAGATATTTACATACAATACAATGCATGGACAAAAAGCAAGCAAAAAGCAAAACAAATAAAAATCATGAACAAAGTACAAACAAACTATGTACAAAATTAAAAAAAGGGACGCCTGGCAGATGTGAAACATCGAAACTATTTTAAGTTATATGCTTAGAAGAATAATATAAATCTTAAATTATTAAATTAGCCGATAGCGTGTTTGTGCCATCTAGCGTAATCTTTACGTACCACCGTGAGAATCAATAAATTTTCGTTCGATAAAATGACTTCACCTATAGAATTAAGTAGATGGCGCTATTAAAATTTTATATACTGAACTGAATGACTAAAATAAATATTCTTTAAAAACCTCAATACATGTATTCATTTAATTTATGACATTAAAATTTGGGCTTCACACTAGAAAAAGGATTGTAACAATTATTTGCTATAAAATTAAACTTATACCTATATATCTCGTATTTTAATCTGAAGTTCAAAATGAAATTTTTAACTCATATGATAATATGAAAGTATTGAGTTATTAAACCTTTAAAAAATAATTAAACTTTAATACTAAAGAGTCCTGTACCTACCTTTTAAAGTATGAAAAAATGTATATTGAATTAAAATTTCATTTTTAAAGATTTTACCTTTTCCTTGCCGATTAGCACTTTAACACACTTATTTTCATCACAAGGAACACTATTATTCTCCCAGTTTCACTAAAAATCTTTCATAAAGCATAATTTTTTAACAGACGCAACATAAACAAATGAACATTGAAACGTGAAGTGAACTTGCAAACGCATTACCCTCTCCTACCTCCTAACGCACTCCTAACCAACTTCAGGGCAAAACACGGCTTTTGGTTCCATAGTAATTGCTATATAAACATTTCGTAGTTATATTTCATTATAGAACATTTTACCACAGGTTAGAAAGGGAGCGATCGTCTTCTCGAAAGCCCGGTAAAAAGCCAATGCACGCGAGAGAGACAACAAAATCAACTCCTTGCGTTCATTAATTTTGACAGTCCAGTGTATTTCGAATTGAAAGAAAACTGCCAAGACGTTGCCGTTACATATTATATGGCTACGAGTCCTACGAGGTCATGCCCTGCGGAGCGCGCTGCAAATTTGAAATAGTTTGAAACAGTTCACGAGTTATTTTATTAGTTGATATTATTGATTGAGCAGTTTTATAGAGCAAGCCTGGCTTCTGGGCTTCTATGGAGGCTTCGCCACTGATGTCTAGTGGCCACAGCTTTCACTTTTGAGGTATACGCAATGAGAAGTATCGTAATCTACCGAACACTGCCGAGTAGCGTTGGATCCGACGAATGAACTTTGAAGCGATAGTAGCCTAATGGCAGGGCACGGACCGCGAACTCAAAAAGGTCGTGGGTTCGAATCCGCCATTCGACTACTGGCGTGAACCACTCGTAACACAAGCAATTTAAGCTTACCACGAGTGGTTAAGGGAAATATTAGTAATGTTTATAGCATTGTTAATATTTTTTTTAAAACTCTTGATTAAAGTTGGACTTATTTAGACGGCAATTTGCCCTTCCATGTGCGGCCGAACCTTGTAAAGTTGCACGCGGTGTGCCGGCATGAAATACTGTCCCGCTCTGCTGAGCTCGCCAAGCTTTTTAGAGACTAATTTTGCCTTCACTTCCAAGTGAGCACGAAACGGCACGTCACTCGATATGTCGACGCCGAGGATTCCAATACTGGCTAAGGCAACAAGGGGAGTGCCTTGAAACTGAAGAGATACGACGAAGTGGTTCTTTGTAGCTGTAAACGCGCAAACTTTGAGGATCGAACTGGAATAGATTTAGTCGCACCCAGTCCGAGACTTTGTTTAACAAAGTTTTGGCTTCAGACACAATTTTGACCCGGTACTCGCAATTTCACGGGAAGGCCATAGGAACGAAGCTCCGTAAAAAGCCCTTTGTGGCAAACTCGATCGCCAACGCTTCCCCCTTGGACTCTACTGGCTGCGCTCATCTATCAGTTAGGTAACCCAGAAGATCACCAGCTGAGCGACGCCAATGGAAATCGTACTGGCGGTCACTAATCAGCTGGTGATCCGCAAGGTACCTCATGTGCTGGCAGTTTATAATGGATTCCATTATTTTGCAGAACAAGGATGTGCTCCGACTTTGCCTTGACAATGACATTTTTAAAGGACCTGGAGACGGTATTATACTTCTTTTTAAGAGCGATGGTATTTGCATTCCGAGACGTCGATTCGTCAGCCCAGGCCCAGTAACACTCCTGCTTATGGCGTAATGCAATTTTGCAGGAGCAACCAAACCATGACTTGGTTCTTCCTCCGATAGGTACCTGATATGATGGTAGGTAGATGATGGAATAAAAAGTTCATTCCCTGTAGCACCACATCAGCGACAGGATCAGCAAAAACGCTGGAATCATCGGCGAGAACAAACCCACAGTGCTCCAAACAACTACCATCATAGGTGTGACATGGATGTTACACATGGCCTTTGTCACAGACAAGTCTCACAATAAAATTTTAAGATCTATCTGTTAGGCGACATTATTGGGGTCTCCGCTGAGATAACATATATCGTCGGGAAGTCGAAGGTAAGTGATGTACTCGCCTTGAATGTTGTTACACCTTTACTGATAGGTATAGTCAAGTTGATTATGTTGTTGATAGGTTGAATATCCATAGCTAATGAATCGGAGTGTGCGTGTATTTTGTTGATGTGATAGTTGTGTGAATAGATTATGAATGAGTCTCCCTTGAGCATGCACTTATTCCCGACTGGTAAGACGCCTTGCTGACGCGCTCCGAAGTTACTTCACCGCCGCATATGAATCGAAGAATGCATTGTTCGCAGCAGAAAAATAGGTATGTATTTATAGTGTCGAGCGCATTTTTACAACAGTTAGTGTCCGTTAGATGTTTATCTGTTGAATGATTCTTGATACACAAATTTTGATCATTTTGCAAATGATAAACAGGGCCTCGTAGCGCACGAGGTTTCTGACGATACATCACCCTTTTTATGTATTGGTATAATCCAAGCATTTATCAGGATGTCCTAATATTGGTAGGTACATAAACTCTTTAAAAAATACTCTTCAGAGCTCAAAATATTTCAACTTGTCTATATATTGTTTCCTTTGCAGGATTTTCTTGACGGTCCTTTTGGTGCATGCATTAAATGTTGCCAGGTTGGGTTGTCGAAGATGAAAATCGAACCTCAACCAAAGATTCTTTACAAAACCGCATGACACAGTTGGAAGTATTTGATTGTAGTTTTTTGTTGGTCTTTGAATTACGATGTCAGAGATAATTTTAATTTTAGGGGAATCTGTATGATTTTTATGCAACTGGGTATGTCGTCAGCATGTCTAGCCACAAATGGTAGCAATTGACTATCACATTTCGAAATATCGCTTAAGTAACGAGCATCGTGTACAGCTGTTGATGACGAAGCATAATACTCTCTTTGTTCTTTTCCAGTTTGTTTGGATACAACTGTGTTTGGGACTATACTCTATTGATGATAATACAGGACAGATTAAAAACTCTTATAGCCGTATAAATATCTTTGGCATGCCTAATGCAGACAGTGGCTATAAATATAGATATTTTTCACACGATATATTTCACAAATGTACCGCTATTGGTGCTTCTGTCGAGCTATTATTCACCAATATGGTAAAAGTGGTTTTAAGATTATTATAGATCTATTGTAAAATTGTAGACTAGATGGTACTACTTAGTATTAACTTGAGTGCTATATGCAATATTTATAACTCAATTGAAACGCCTTCATCTTCGTTATTACTCTTTTAGGTCTCATAGTAGTATATTTATACCACGGTTTTATACCCAATGCCTGTATAAAAGCTCTACAAACCCCTTTTTTATTTCCAAAGCCATTATCGTCACTACTAAACGGCTATTTTATCACTACAAATAAATATAAGAATCTGTTATATACAGATTAAGAAAGATAGAAACTTCCATATACAGTTGTTATACAGCAAGAGAGCGATGCAGTGTCTGCTTATATTGCTTGTGTGCTACTTGGGTTGCCACCGTAATCAGGAATAGCGGGATCGCTGGGGTCGTTTCTTTCCATCGTTACTCTCTGGAGCCTTTCATAAGTCCACTGCTAAACATAGGCCACTCCCATAGATTGCATCAGAGGAGGATTGCCACGTTTGGCGGGCGGACTGGGCGTTTTTTATGTTCTAGTTGTTATTGGGTAGACGCTGCTGCCCATCTCCTGGTTTATTTTCCTGTGTTGACTCTTTCTACACTCATGGGACGAAGTAGGGTTTAATGGTTTTCTTACACAGATACATGCCAAAATAGCTTAATCGTGCCGATCTTTTCCATTTCTGATATCACCGAACCCTTTGCTTATTAGATCCTTTTTCTTATAGTTCTCTATCTACAGTATCATAATAATAAACATACCGTTATATAAACAATAATATGCTATATAAATACAGAATAGAATACCTATTCTAAAGAATAAATGTTTTTATTTTGAAATAAAATCAATAAACTAAAAGGTCAACTCAAAACAAACAGAAAATAATATTTATAAAAATATATTATCGTAGGTCTTAGGAAGACCGTGGTAGCTCAGATGGTTAGCGCTCGCTGTGAAGTCGAATTACGCGAGCAACCCGTGTTCGATCCCCGCCGGCACAATGAAATTGTTAATTGCAATTTTAAGTGCTGATTTACCACGTGCTCGGCGGTGAAGGAAAATATCGTGAGGAAACCTGCATGTATGAGAAATAAAAAAAATACATCGAAGACATGTGAAGTTCGCCAACACGCATTGGGGCAGCGAGGCGGCACTTCCTTGCCCTACACTAAAACCCTCTCAGAAATGAAAGAAGGCCTGTGCCCAGCTGTGGCACGTGTATATAATGCTGGCCAACTCTCTGTCAGTAGTTCAGTAGGCTGATTGAGCTATCTCCCTGTTTCACAAAGCTTGCCACGTTATGATTCTTTCGGAAAGCATAAGGTTAAAAAACCGCGTCAGTCAATAAGAAGTACCTAATAGAAGTTGATCTTTTATTTGTCGCGTTTAAAGGACTTGGGTTCGAATCCCGCGTCGGTTCATAATCAGTTATTGCGTTTTTCAGTCAAAAAATTCGCAGCCAAGTGTGAGGAAGTAGGTTGTTTTATCACCCCCGTGCCGCAGAGAGCCGGAAAGCGGAAAGTCGTAAGTCGTGCCTCTCCGGTTGTGTCAGATTACCGTCACATCGAACTATGAGAGTGAGGAAATATAGAGTGCAACTGCGCTTGCACATACACTTGGCCTCTGTAATACCTACTGTCCTGCGCAGATGGTTAGTATCCGTTGAGACCGGCCGCCGTGACCGAATTTCAGTCGGTCGAGATTATTTATTTCTTAAGATCAAAAACCATTGAGTCCGCCGGCCAAGCAATTCTTAAAGGAAACGATCGCAACCTGTAGGATCTCTTACTAATATTAGCTAGGGAGGTATTACCAATTTCAGTTCCGTTTACTCTTATTTCGGACCTTCTTATAAATATGATAAATCTTTTAAGATAACAAATGTTGACGTTAGTTCACATATTTTATATTTCTAAATAAAATTGCAATACTGTTTATAGGGTTTTAAGGTGCATAACTGCTGTTTAGAAATGCCCAATGAAAAATGTTATGTAAATATTTGTCAATTTAAATTGTTTATCGAAGTTGTTATGATTTTCACTACCGTGTTAGATACAAGACAGTCATATTGTATATATTGAAACTCTTTAACATTGCGTAATTGTTTTTCTAACATAACTAGTATCAATGATTAGGTAACATTCTTATAACTAATGCCTGATTTATAAACATACTATTGTCTCAATTATTTTCTCTTCATGTCAAAACATTTCGTCAGCGAAAAGGATGATAGTTAGTATCCGTCTAATCTCCAGACCCGATGGAGCTGTACGTGCTGCTCCCGTGGTTGAGCGTTGTGTTTTTAGAACTTACAAGTGGCGTCGCACATGTGGAAGCCTACGTGACACAAAGCAAAAGTGCCCTCAAGAAGAAGTACAGGCCAATTTACCACATATCGTCTCCAAAAGGATGGGTCAGTGACCCCACCGGCTTCACGTTTTTCAAGAGGCAATATCACATGTTCTTTCAGTATCACCCGTATGCTGGCTCATGGGGACACATTAATTGGGGGCATGCTGTGAGTATGAACCTAGTAGATTGGACTCATTTCCCACCGGCGATTACACCAAATGAGTATTACGAAATGCACGGTTGCCAGTCCGGAACTGCCCTGGTGAATAATAACTATCTTACACTTTTCTACACGGGTACTGTTTTAGCAGATAACGAAACGTTCCAGACACAAAATTTGGCGCTGAGTTCTGATGGAGTTGTATTCCAAAAATACATTTATAACCCCATAATAAGGGAAGCACCGCATGGAGTCGGGGAATTTCGTAACCCCAGAGTTTGGAGGTTCCGTAATACTTGGTACATGATGATAGGAACAACTTCGAGAGAAAGGAATGGAAAGTTAATACTTTATACATCAGGTGATATGTTTAATTGGAAGTTGGATGGTACCATAGCGGAGTCAATGGGAGATATGGGATACATGTGGGAAAACCCAGATATGTTTGAAATGGACGGACAGCACATTTTGATTTTTTCCGCTCGAGGTATTAAAAGCGAAGGTTACAGATTCAGGAATCTGTACCAAACTGGCTACGTGATTGGGCATTTTGACTACGTGCTTGGTCAGTTCGAAGATTTGGAAATATCAACTGCAACATTCGTCGAGTTGGATTATGGTCATGATTTCTATGCAGCGAAGACCATGCTCTGTAAAGATGGAAGAAGGCTGTTAATTGCGTGGCTAGGTATGTGGGAGAGTGATTTTATTGAATCTAAAGACGGATGGGCAAGCATGTTGACCATGGTAAGGGAACTGCGTCTATCAGATTCTGGTCGCCTTACGATGACGCCGGTTCGAGAGATAGTGGATCTTCGAGCGGAAATCTTGGAAGACTCATGGTACAGACCCGGAGAAATGTTTTACGCAGGGACTAAATCATTCGAGTTGATTGTTAATTCGAGTGCTATAGTATCTTTTGTCGGTTTAGCTTTGGAATGGGGGGCAGAACACAGGTACACGATAGGATATCACGCGGACCATGGTCACGTTAGCGTGGACCGTGGTGGTACAGATGGTGTCAGAATAGCCGAATGGTCACCCACTGGCTTTGTACACTGGCGAATATTCGTTGATGGTAGTTCCGTAGAAGTGTTCTGCGGTGAGGGCGAAGTGGTATTTTCAAGTCGCATCTACCCCAAAAAACAAATACGAGTCAGAGTAACTGGTGACACACAGCTTCATATAATTCAGTACAGACTTCGCCGCAGCATCGGACACAATAATAAAAAAACGAAGCAACGAAACAAGAAAAGGACGAAATTAAAAAAATTTAAAATCGATGGAGAAATTAATGTATAATATAAATAAATATCTTGTTTAATGACTTATAATGCGAATTGTATTTATGTAGTATGATTTTTTTGAAGTATACATGCCTTTGTTATGTGTACTTACATGTATAAAAAGAAAAAAATCTCGAGGTAATAAGTAATAAAGTATTAATCAGCTATTTCCGTAAAAATGTTACTACTACTGACCTTTATAAGTATTTTCTAAAGGAGACGGTCCATTTCAGGCCCAGTGTGTGTAGCTTAATGCTGCTGTATTTCGTATGCGTTTTGATACCGCAAAAAATCGAAAAATTCAGGGATTTTATAAAAACTAAAATAACAGAACAAATCAAACTAAATACCTTGCTAACAATAAAAATGCAATCCCAAGTTTTTGATGGTTTCAAAGATGGCCCCCTTCCAGTTATAAAAAAAGACGCGGTTATTTGTCAAATGTCATTTCTGACTAGTGTCTTGAAATATTGTAGGTACCGTGAAATATCACGGTACAAATATAAATATATTTACATATTTCGAGCTTGATCGTGTAGTTGTGAACTCGTGAATGCGTTTATTGTTTCTGGTGGATTTCTTTGTCGATGTGGTTTCGGATTATTGATAAGGATAACACAGCATTTCACAATTAAAATAGCCATAAATGGATCAATAACCTCATCACAGTTGACAGTTCACGTCTAAACGACATCTATCAGCCATTAGCGTTGCATCTTTTGGTGAGAATAAAATATTAATACCACTGAAATACAAATTCAAATTGAATGGCAAATTCGTGAATTTGAGTAATCAAGAGTGGTTTAATATTCTATTTTAATTTGTTACCCTACTAGTACAAAAATAGACCTGCTGTTCATACAATTTTGGACCGTCTCCTTTTCATAGTATTTCATAGAAACATTATTTGCCTCCTTTTTAATAGCAGTTTTATGTATTAATTTTGTCAAAATAGGTATATTAAGAATTGTTAATGTATTGTCATTCAGTGTGTGTTTCTTGTGGTATTTATCACTGTAGAATAGAGTCAATACGCCATTGTTCTAACTGAGATACCGATTCATAGATTTTTTCTGTACTTATATTTAAAATTGAATTACTATTCCACTATAGCTAGAACCAACATGTTGAACAGTATAAAATAAAATTGTCCTCGAAAGTAACCTTATTTTGTAAGTTAACTAAGTACATAACCTAAAGAAGTATGTAAGGGTAAAGAGTTTGTACTTAACAGCATTATATTTTGTTGTTGATAGAGCAGTTACATCAGTCAAATAAATTAAAAAAGAATAAGACATAGTTGAATTTTATTCATAAAACATTTTACTTCTCATTTTTAATAAAATTTCTAGGTGTTTAGCAGTAATTTCTGAACAGTGCACTATTACATCAAAACTGTTTACAGCAGCTTTTTTCACAAACTTGTGTCTTAGTCTCTGACGGCAATGAGGTGCGTGACTTTTATAAACGTCTTTGTACAGTGCAGTGCTTCACATTTGTAAATACCTAAACTTGTTCACCTCGAGAGCGCTTTGCCTATGTTGTTTATTGTACAGTCGTACGTACGTTCGTCGTTCTATTAGTAGTATAATTGTAGCACGAATGGGTTTGCTCGACCGGGGAAGGACCACGCTCTCACAGAATACCAGCGTGAAATAGTAGCTTAATGCTGCTGTATTTCGTATGGTGAGTGTAGAGAACCGGAGACCCTTTTTACTGGAAAAGAGGCATTCCATCTTAGCCCTCAGGGGTGACAACGCATCTGCATTTTGATTAATCGATGATAGATGTAGATGTCTATGGGCCGCAGCAACTACTTACCATCAGGTGGACTGTGTGCTCGTTTGTCACCTAATCCTAAAAAAAGTCGACATGAAAAGGAACTACTTAAGGGCTTATACTACCTCAAAGTTTTTCTTCATTAATAATAAATGCACTTTGTTCATTCATATTCAAAATTTCAAAACACTTTATACACAAACACCGTGTCGAAGACTGAGGAAAAGAAACGACGTTAGACCATCGTTAGACAATGCACGGCCTTCAAGCCACACCTCCGTGCCCGTCGGAGACCGTGAGGTTTTTTTCGTTACAAAATTTCTGGATTTTCCCGCACTCAAGGCCCGCGATAGAAGCTATGCAATAGCTTAATAATAATTTTATAATTAAATAATTGACATGTCTCGTTTTACTTTATTATGAAAAAATCAAATAGAAAACATTTAAATTATTTATCTCCTTATACATTTCAAACTTTTGCAAATTACAACGTTATACTTTAAATTTATAAATATTAGACATCGTTAAATTCCTCTAGGTCAGTGTCCACATAACGGGTACTTGAATTAGTTTCTAATTTCTTATAAAAATTGTGGCAATCATTGTCAATTAAATGAAGAATACCCAAGAGATCTTTATTTTTTTTTTCTTGACTAATAGGCAAAGGATTATCGTAACATTTCTGAGGATTGAACGGTTCGTTTGCTTTGCCTCTTCTACTAAAAGAAATATTTTTGAATACAGGCGAGTCTATGTTGGTTTTAAATTGTATTGTGCCTGATTCATTTTCACCACTGTACCGGAACCATTTCACGTCATGCCATATAAACTTTTCTCCAGATGGATCGACCTTCCTTAATTGCATTGGACTCTTGTACAAACTTGCAAAATCAAGAAACATATCATTTCTCATGATAATGACAGTAATATTTGAACTTGTTAATCTTACCAAATTGTACCAGTCTCTAGGCAAATGTATAGACATGTCAGTCTTTTTCTTTTTTCGCTCTATTTGAGCATGAACAGAATCACATTCCATGTGAGTATGACCAGGGATTAAAAACTTGTGATCTATTCGCATATCTGGTATAAGTTTGCTTATGCAAAGAAACATAGCAGCCACATGGCTATTTTTGTTTTGACCGCCACATGTATCTGAGTAAAAAGTAACTATTTTTACAGTAGATGGAAGTGATTTTATAAAATGAAATAAGCAGGAAGCTATTTGGTTTGCGCCACGGCCACCGTCAGCTTCATGCCACATGTAGCAGAAACTTTTCTTTTTTTCAAAGCAATCGTATACAGTTAGATTGAAAGTCCATAATAGCCGCTTGTAAAATACGATATTGGTTTTCAAAAAGGGAGTTGGGAGACATTGTTGGAGGTCAAAACAATATACCCTTTTCGCATCTGTACACTCCTCGTTGTCTTTCTTTTTCATTGCCTAATCTGAATCTGCTTGCATTTGATGGGCTTCAAGTTCTTGTTTTAGATTTTCTATATCTGACGGTAAAGCCAATTTAATTTTCATTTTATATGAGTCACACGTATTACAAGTGTCCAACGATGGTTTTTTAAAAGATAAACCCATTGTTCGAAAAACATTGCCAAAAAATGAATATGATACAGGATTATTAGTCACCTTTTCCTTATACATATGATACATTGATGTCAACGAGAGTCCTGATGGTAGATATCGTCTATTTGTATGACTTCGGTTATAGTGTGACTCATACAAAGGATACGAATTTATATGGTCTTTTATTGTTTGTACTACATCACTACCAATTTTATTAGATGGAGTAAACGATCCACGTTTATCAGGGCTTGTAATCCCAGATACTCTCTTTGATTGTTTCTTGACAATCACTTCAATGCATTTATTAGAAATTGCAAACGTTTTTAAAAAACAACCATTGCATGCCTCAATCAGCTGGCTATTTACTTTTAAATGATAAGTGTGGTTTATAGTTCGTGGTTTAGGCTCTCCGCCAGTATTACGTATGCGTTGTGTTTTTTTGGTGCATCGAAAATCAGTGATGATATATATGTCGAACGCTTATTGTAATTTGCTAATTCCCATAACTCATCAAAAAGTATCGTTTGATTTTCTAAACTAATTTTATTACGACACTTTTTACGGCAATCTGACAAGGCGGTAACTTTTCTAGACGGAATTATTTTTCCTGATTTTGTTTCATAAGATTAACCTTTGTTTCTTTTAATCTGAATTGTTTTGCGCAAGTTTTGTCCTTTCCGTTTCCTTCTTGTATTTAATACAACATCATTACTAGCATTTATTGATACATCCCAATATTTTCAGCTTGGGCTCTCTTCAGAGGACGAACTTTCTTCTACTCTTGGATTGAATTTCTTATCACGTGCGCTATCGTCAGAATCAAAGTCAGCTAAAACTTGGACGAGGAATTTCTCTATCAAGAGCCGATTCAAGTGATTCATTAACTGAAACACGAATAAGAAAAATATTACTCTCTTAACCCTCTTTCCAAAGTGTCTTTAATAACAAGGTCTACAACGTAACTCGGTTACAAACTTTGCTAAGTATAATGCATTAGTAACTTTTATACCTTGGTACCAACAAGGTGACAAATTTGAGCATAACAAATTACCTACACCCAGGTAGTAGGGTGTCACTTACTACCAATATTAAAAAACAGGTACCTAAATACCTACTACACAACGTGTCGTGAAAAGAGTAACAGTTTTTTACATTTTGTTATAAATATAATATACTCACCAAGTGGTGTTGTCATATCATTTCGATCATCATGTGATAATCCTAAATCAGAAAGAGTAATCAAACTTTCTAAACCCTCAGCAGCTCGTATTTGATCTTGGTTAAGCTCACTACTAACCTCAGATTTATTTAATGATGTACTGATATGGTCATCTTTTGAACATCCTTGTAATGCTGTAATTATAATAATTTGCATAGTTTAGAAAATAGGTAAGTATCTAATTAACTGACAAAAACCACACGGCGCAAGCGGCACAATCCCTATCCACATGCCTACTTAAACTATATCTTTTCTAGGTATCTAAATTAACTAAAATATTTTTATAAAGCGTACAGTTTAAATAATACCTTATTACCACAAACTAATAGTTTGGTAGGTATAGAGCGCGGCTGCCGCCGCCCACCGCCGCCGCGGTGCGGTTGTTCGATTTGCCTTCCGCCTGTTTAGGTACCTATAGTACGTTTCCAGGGCAGGCGGAAAAAAGTATATTGACCTTTGACGATATCATCGGGGTAGGCAATCTTTTTTGTTTAGGTTCATTTTTTTATCCTTTTATTATTACATACATCATCAGAGTGAAAGATAAGGGTGCCGAGTGCGAAGTTCTTTACAGGCCCTATGTCTATTATTATATTATAGCGATATTAAGCGACGGTAGCCTAATGGCAGGGCGCGTACCGCAAACTCAAAAAGGTCGTGGGTTCGAATCCGCCATTCGACTACTGGCGTGAACCACTCGTAACACAATCAATTTAAGCTTACCATGAGTGGTTAAGGGGAATATTAGTAATGTTCTTTTAAAAAAATATTATAAAGAAAAAGATTATCCTGTACTTAAATGAATTAAAAAGCAAATTAATATTATTTTAAATTTATTATTTATGAATCATGATTTATTAAAATTTTCATTATTAAGGTAATAGTAGGTAATTACTTTAATAAGTAGGTAGGTAGGTAGTTGTATAAAACATAACCACTTCTTGGCAGTCAGGTAAAAAGACGAACTTTTAATGCTAAGCATTCCAAGCAGCCAACCTTGAAGCACGCATAAAACTTCTCATAATAGATTGTCAGAGACACTTGAAAGACTATTCATCTGTATTTATTTCAGAATCATTTTATGATGATAAAGATGTAGAAGAGTCCTTCACATTAATTATAACCTAAAATATCGGCAGTCTTCTTTTTCATATCCGTTTTGAATGGATATAGGTCACTAGACCACGTTTCTTTTACATATTTATAGATGTTTACAGTCATTATTTTTTCGGTTTCCGAAATATGCGACACTTTCCGATTCTTTCGTGGTGACGTAAAGTCTTTATGAGATTTTCGTGTCGGTGGACCCAATTTCATACTAGTGATAATATATAAAATTCACAAAACAATAACAAAAACTTTAATACAAAAAGTAATAATACAACTTACAAAACAAACATAATAAAAATTAAAACAACTACTATAACCGAAAATTTTAAATCTCAAACTATCTCCGAAAGCAGAATGAGAAATGAGTTCTGCTTCATCCGCTTTCTCAAAAAGGCACGGCGTGAGACCTATCGCAAATCGCGTTGAAACAGATTTATATACCATGAGACAAGCTTAGCGCATAACGATACGTAATCTATAAAGATATGTATGGAAGCAATAACTGTCGTTTTGTTTCGTTGCTAACATAATACTTGAGGTCATTGTACTTTTTTTCCGCCTACCCTAGAAACGTACTATACCTACTTACAGAAATGTGGCTATCGAATCTATATATCTACTAAGATAATCGTAAAAAGAACAACAACAACACACACACTCAAATTAATTCATCATCATCAAGCACTTATGCCAAACAATATAATTACCTATCTTAGCAATTTCAAATTTAGTCGGTTAAAAAGAGAAATCAGCTAAAAAAACATAATACTTACGTTCAGTTGTTCCATTTTTTAAGGCTAAAGTAATTATTTTATCAACTCTCTTCATATTTATGTATTATAACACTTAAAAACTGGTAAAACCAATTTAAACAAAATTTCACGTCAGAACAACTCGCGCCGAGTCCGCTCGTACGTCACAACTGATGCAAATATCGTCGCGCACTTTAGGCACGAATCGACTTATTTCACTATACGTAATTTAATATTTACAATAATCTGCGCTTATACTGACATAACTCGAATAAACTCTCTTTACTCATTTAAGCATTTGTTACTTAAGACTTGTCCCAATATGTGTATCGAGGTAAAAAAATTTAAATAAATTTTTGTATGACTCATCTCCTTATTACCGTATTACATAATAATGTTTTGAGTTAATAGGTGCAAAAATCTCATTGTTCAAAAAATTTGACTCATCCCTTTTTCCTTGTCACCACAGAATTATGTTTTATATAATACTTATTCCAATATTCGTATTTACAAAGACAATAAAGTCTGTTGTTTTTAGTAAATCTTCGTACAGAATTAATATATTTTATAGTTATTACTCGACTATGGCAAGCAAAGGGTTTCTGTTTTAAGGCTTTTCCGTAACTATTAAACTGTACATGTCATCATATTATTTATTTATTTCAAATTATAACCATACATAAGGTGGACTTCATATGATAGGCCCTATCGCAAAATTGCCTAAATTATAAAACGTTCGGACGTTTTATTCGTATTGTGATTTCAGAGTACACTATTTTCATAAAATAGATCCGGCAATATCAAGTACAACAAAACGACAAATACGAAACGAATTATCTTTATTTGAAGGCATGTAGGTTTTAGTTCATCAAGGCGTCTTAGTTAATAAAAATATAACGTAATTTCTTTTATTATTTACTAGCTGTTACCCGCGGCTTCGCCCACATGGTCACTGGGAAATGAACTATCCATTGCGTTTTGAATTGAAAGAAAACTGAGTTTTATAGATTTGTCAGAGATGCAGCCATTAAAAGGAAACTGAGCAAAATTGATTCGTCAGCCTATTTAAATGTTTTGAAACGCAGCGTATAGGAAAGCATGAAAATAGCCTGTTTATTCCAAATGGAAATGGGATATTTTTTTAATTAATGGAAACTGAGCATAATTATCAGTCAGGGATACAGACTTTTGAAAAGAAACTGAGCTACAATTTAGCTGACGAATCAATTATTCGTCAGAGATGCAGTTTTCTGAATTGAAAGAAAACTGAGCCAAATAAAAGATCCGTCAGAGATGCAGCCTTTTGAGTTGAAAGGACGCTGAAGTTAATAGGTACGTCAGAGGTGCAGAATTTGGAATTGAAAAGAAACTGAACTAAATAGGAAATTTTGAATTGAAAGGGAAGATCTGTGGGAATTCTGATTAATTGATTGTGGGAATTTTGGAAAAAAAAACTAACTGAACACTATTTTAAGACGCTAATGTACACAATGTTATATGTTTTTCCATTCGAGGAAAGAATGTGGAGATTCTGGGCATTTGACACACGCGAACATGCTACATACATCTGACCATGAGAGAAGCACGGTTTTTCTAAGTTGACCCCCGCTACCTGTAACGTTTGCCCTTACGCTTTATTAGTTGTCATTGCAAAACTGAGCTTAATAGGGAACTGCAACCTTTTGAATTGAAAAGGAAGATCTGTGGGAATTATAGGGATCCGTGATATAATAATATTTTCACCTTTTCCTACGTCTGTCAAAATTGTAGCACCGGTTATGTTCCGTCCAAGATGTGTCACACGCAGCCTTGTCCCGTTACATAACCGAGGAGCGTCTAAATTTCGCATTAGCATGACTGGGACGCCTAATTTTAATTGAAGCTAATGTGAGGGCACACCTGACAACTCTAGAGAATTTAGAAACTCTGCGGGATATGAAGTGACACTCTGTTCTGTGTCCATAACTGTGTCTACTGACAAATACTCTGTTATTTCTCCTGTTACTTCGCTTAATATATCTGAATTTATTTTGTTAACACTCTCATTATTGGTGCTAGAATTGCCCTTTCACATAACCATTTGTCTTCATGCATGTTGTTCGTTAAATCTGAATAAACGCTCGCAATTAATTCAGAATAACTCTGTACTAAATTACAAAAATCTCTCGTCAATTTAAAGTAGCCCTCAGCATCCGTTTCCAACCGTCCTTCGCCAATTTTTAATAATGTGTCAGCATAGTTTCCAGCATTGATATCGTTATACAAATTCACTCTCATATTCATAGTTAAACTGAATTTTGGTACCTTGTTCCATAAAATAGACGACTTGAGGCATGCTTTAATTTCATCTGCAGGTGTGCCCTTTTGAATGACAGGTAAAGTTTGGCGAAAGTCACCAGCCAGTAAAACCACCATTCCTCTCATTACATCGGTATTGCTGCGCAAATCCTGGAGCGTTCGATTTAGTGCTTCTACAGCTTTTTTATGCGACATTGTACTTTCGTCCCACACTAAAAGTTTGCATTGTCGTAGCATTATACCTCGTGCACTATTTTTGCTAAAGTTGCACATCGGCGATTCTTCCTGGGCTATATTTAGAGGTAGTTTTAAAACAGAATGTGCAGTGCGGCCCCCGCTTAGCAGCGTGGCGGCTATACCGGGGGGAAGCTACGGCCACAGCAATGTTTTTATCTTTCCGTACTTGCGCTAATAATAAATTTAAAAAAAATGTCTTCCCAGTTCCTCCAGGGGCATCTAAAAAGAAAAGTGCACCATTTCCAGATTCAATTTGTCCTAATACTTTGTCAAAAACTCGTTTTTGTTCGGGAAGCAAGCGGGGTAAAAATTCGGCCATTACTTTATCTTCAGTTTTTCCAAGTGTTTCATTATAAATGTGTTCACTGTATGTCATGTTCGCGTGTGTCTGCTGTAACCTTCGCAAAATATCTTCCGCCATGTACTCTTTATATTTGTCCCACAATTCATGTGCATTAGATAGCCCGCAAGATGATATGAGAGTTGCATAAAGATCCCTAATTTTGGCTGGTGACTGGCACTGCACAGCTTCCTCCATGGTTTCATCCCAGTGATTATCGTTTTCTAAAAGATGCAGAGCTTCACATGCTTCTCTATAAGTTGCGCATTCCTGACCGTTGACAGTTTTAAGGTATTTATATCCTGTAGGACCCCGAACATGGTGCAGCAGCAATCGTAAACAAAAACATTTAAAATTAGTTACATGGACGGTATATACACGACCAAGGGCATCTGATGACTTTACACCGGGCCAATTTGTAACAGGCGCGCATTGAATACGGAGTTTCCACTCCTTCCTAGATGTGTTCCAAGTATAATAGCGATGGATTTCAGAATATAACAACGTTTTTGCAAAGGGGTTGGCTTGACATAGTTGAAAGAAGGTTATTAGTGTAGTTTTTGGCGGTGATGCAATTCTTTCTTGAAAATTTCTTTCGGTGAAATATACACGCTCTCCATTTTCTAAGTGCACAGCAAGGTTAGTAACTGTTGTATACGTTAGTTTATACATATATACACTTATACACATACATATATATATATATATATACATGCATACATATATATTTAAATAAAATATATACTAAACCAATAAAGCATACAATATAGTATACGAAATTATAATAAACATAATCAATAAAATTAATCAAGTAATTTTAAATAATATGCCTCAAGCTTACGTTTAAATGTATTTATTGAAGGAGCATCTTTTAAATCTCGTGGAAGGTTATTCCAAAGTGTAATTGATGATACCGTGAAGGAATCCGAGTAGTATGCAGATTTATGCATCGGGATAGTTAGAGATTTGTTGGTAATCGAACGAGATAAGCTTAAATATGACAAACGCTCTTTTAGATAAACTGGGGAACAAGGATTGTGAAGAATACCATATAAAGTGGTTAGAAGGTGTGTGTTCCGGCGAAAACGGATGTCGAGTCACTTAAGTCTTGAGCGAAATTGTGATATATGATCAAACTTGCGCAGGCCAAAAATATAGCGTATGTACAGATTGAGCAGACGGTCGAGTTTGCTGAGCAGCTCCTCAGTTATATCTGGATAGGCAATATCGGTATAATCAAAGATAGGAAGCAACAGAGAGTTGACTAGCGTAACCTTGGCCGTCTGAGGAATAAATTTTTGCCAGAGCTTTAATGAATGAATAGTTCCAAAAATACGTCTCCTGACCTCATTAACCTGTAGCACCCAACTTAGATTGTCAGCCAAAATTAAGCCAAGGTTCTTAACCTGCCTAACATATTCTAAATCTACACCGTTTAGAGTGACCTTAGGTAGGTATTGATAGTCAAGTCGACATGTAATTTTTCTGCTCCCTATGATTATAACCTGAGTTTTGGCAGGATTTAATATTAGCACATGATATCTTGCCCACTGATGAACTGCAGCAAGATCAGAATTCATTCTGTCAACAGATGAATTTGGGTCATTTAAACTAAAATGCTGATACAGCTGGACATCATCTGCGTACAGGTGATACTTGCTGAAATTTATTACGGAAACAAGTGCATTGAAAAAAAACACAAAAAAAGCAACGGAGATAAAACACCGCCTTGAGGAACACCAGCAACAACGTTATACCAATCGGAGAACTTATCATCAACACGTATGCGTTGCCGGCGTCCCCGAAGATAGGAACTGAACCATTGTAGAACTGACGATGTTAAATTCAGGGATTTCAAAATTGCTAACAGGATGTCATAGTCAACACAGTTAAAGGCGTTACTGAAGTCCAGAAGGACAAGAAGAGTGAGTTGACGATTATCCATCGCGAAGCGGATATCATCAGTTATTTTAATTAAGGCCGTGGAAGTACTGTGCAGAGATCGGAAACCAGACTGATAAGGATTAAAGAGGTTATGTTTGTTTAGAAATTTTGAGAGTTGGCCATGAACAACCTTTTCAAGAATTTTGGAGAAGAAGGAGAGGATAGATATTGGCCTATAGTAACTATTTTTGGGGACAGGAATCAGGAACGCTTCTTTCCACTTGGTAGGGAAGGTACTGGAGGCAAAGGAGAAATTT